CGAGGCCAGCCTGAGGGCAATAGAGTGAATCTAGGTCTAAAAAAAGATAAAAAAGAAAAAGGAAAGAAGTTCCCCCTTTGGTGCAAATCCATGTCTAAGAGTGAAACCCATCACCTTATCATCTCTACCAGCCAAGCTTGTGCCCTGGGGCAAAATCATAGCAATAATGGCTCTGATGTAAGAGGGCCTATTGACTGCCAGGCACTGGGCTCTGGGTACAATGTCAGGTTAGAGACAGGGAATGGGGAAGGGCTAGGGACCTCAGCCCCACCCAACACACTTCCTACGGAGGGAAACTGGGCCATCTTGCAGTTAAAGGGAGGAAGCCAGATGTCCACAGGGGAATGTAAGATCCTGAAGGGAAAGTCCCTGATCTTGCCCATGCGCAATAGCCCAAGGGACTGACCTAAAGTTACTTTGTTGCTAGTTAACATATCATTAACATTGTGCTTACCCTCCCTTTTGCACATTTTCCAAGGGAAAAGAAACATGTGCTTGAGCGATAGAGAAGACATTATGTCAAATGCTGCTGTCAATCAAGGTTCCAGTCAACCCCAGGTCCACCCTTGGGAGAAGGGGAGAACCAGCCCGATAAGGGCAAGCTCCAGGGTGTATGCAGACAGGATTGGAGCTACTTCGCAGCTTGGCCCACTCCTCTCTCCAGAATGTTCTTTTCTTTTTAATAAACCTGCCAAGGTTTTGCTCAGTTCTTTGCTTGGGATGCCGGGAACCGGGACCTGGACCCCCCTAGAGATCCCTACCCTTGTGCTGATAGCACTTTTGTCAATATTAGGTGGTGGGAGGAACCCAGCTGGTCACAGGCGGAGGCAGGGCCTTTTTTTTGGAGGCGACCTGGCCCCTGGGAGGCTGAGCTGCTGGCTCTGGAGTCGGCCTTTGTCTGCTTGTTGGGCAGCGGGAGGGGAGAGGTGGGGCTGAGATGGGCCATGCACAGGGGGCTCCTTTCCTGGCCCAGGACAGACCCAGGATCGGTGGCTTCTGACTGCCCATCCTTGAGCCTCCCCCAGCCTCCACCCCCAGCCCTCTTCAGGGAAAGGAGTGTGACCGGAGGACACAAGACTGGCAGGACAGATGGCACCCCGGGTGCTCTGCCCTTTCCCAGGTTTCCCACACTCCCAGGGAGGGCCGCCCAGTCCCCAGCGATGGCGAGCACCATGACCCTATCCAGGAGCGTGGGACTGACTCCCTCCCTGTAGGGACAGCTGCCACAGTGGCCCTCAGCCACTGACTCCCTGAAGAGAGGCCTCAGGTCACCCAGAGTCATGCCCCCTCCTCAGGGCAGACCTCTCTGGAGTGCACGGAGCCCAGGACTCCCCACAGTGCCTTCCTGCTGCCTTCCTAGCCTCCCCCAGGCCACCACCCCCAGGCCAGCCCCCACTCAGCGCCCTGCGACCTCATCATCTGCTCCCGACAGGAGCGCCTCCCCCCCAGAGGGAGAGCTGCAAGGAGGAGGCTGTGTCCCCTCGTCTCTGCCGGGCACCCTCTTACCAGGAGTCTATGTTTTCACTTAGCATCCCTCGTTTTGGGTGCTGTTCCTGTGCCACCTGCCTGCAAAGCAGGGTATTTTCTTGGTCCTCATTTAACCCTTTTATATCTCGGTGCAGTGGCTTCTGGGGCAGCAGACTAGCTTGGGGGTCAATATTTGGTTCATAAGACCTGCTTACCGCCTCCCCGTCCTTTTGACCACCCTGTGGACTTCACATTACATCGACCCGGCTGAAAGGGTCCCACCTTTTCTCCCCACCCCCTCAGCACCCCTAAGATATCCTCTCTGATTCTGAGGAGTGACTAGCCTCAGGGAACCAAGGTGCCAAAGTGCCCAGCCACTTTCGACAAGGACTTACATGTTTATTTTTATTTAACAAATGTGTAGAGTGTGTAGACTAGACCCAGAGGCCAGTCTAAGTGCTTTCACTCATTTAATCCCCGTAACAACCCCAGGATATAAGTCCCTACTATTTATTTATGTATTATTAGAGATGAGGAACAGAGAGGTCAAGGAACTTGCCCATGGTTACACAGCAAATGAGAAACAGAGCTGAACTTGAACTCAGCCAGGATGGCTCCAGGGCCACCTGTCTCCTGGCTGTTGGTTGGGTCACCCTCTCAGAGTCAGAGCTCTCTGCCCCCACCCCTCCAACCCTATTACGCATCCCACCTGCTCCACTTTCAAAGTCTACCCATCAACCTCCAGTTCTCACCTCCTCCATCCCTGCCTCCTGGTGCCAACCTCCTGGATGCAGCTGTCACCGCCTCGCTGGACTCCAGCGCTTCCTCCTCTTCCTGCCTCCACCTCACGGGGCTGCACACGGCAGCCACGTGTTTTCTTGAAACCACCGGGGAGGCTTGGAATGAATTCTGATTCACGCTCTGCCAGGGAGGGACCTGGGATGCTGCGCCCAAGGAGCCAGACACAGCAGGATGCACGTGTCGGCGACACCTAGAACAGAGGCCCCGCATGGAGCCGGGAGGGAGGAGGGTGTCACGCGCTGGCCAGGCACAGGGGCCGAGTGTGATTGCTTGGTGGCTACAGAGTCTCTGGGGCGATGAAAAAGTTCTGGAAATAGACTGCGGTGGTGGTCGCACAGCCAGCAAATGCAAGGAGCGCCACGGAGGGCACTCTTAAAAATAGCTAAAGTGCTATTAATAGCTAATGATCATAAATTAATAGCTGATCATAATAAATTTAAAAATCAATGATGTAAGACACCCCGATCCGTTGAATGGCACACTTTAGAGAGATGAATTGTATAACACACGAATCCCATTGGAATAAAGTGGTTGCTGTTGCTTTTTCGTGGAAACCTTAGCTCCGACCAGTATCCTCCCCAGCCATGAAATCTTACTGACGGGGCCCCTGGTGATCTGCCACCCTGACATCCCTCTGACCTCCTCCCCCTTCTTCTTACTTTGCTCCTCAAGTCACTTGGACCACTTGGCTGTTTCTCTGGGGTATCCAGGATCACCCCCCATCCACCTCAGGGCCTTTGCACATGCTGTTTCCCCTCTCCCTAGAACACTTCCCCAGATACCTGCGTGGATTACTTCACTTCCTTGGGCTGTCTCCCCCAGCATCATCTGAAATGTCTTCCTTGGCCAATAAAATAGGACACAAGCACACACCACAACACTTTCTGCTCCTGACCTTGCTTCATTTTTCTTCTTAGCACATCTGACCGCAGGAATATTACAAACATTTAGAAAAGTGTTCTGTCTCCTCCAACGAGAGCCTTAGCACTGGGAGAGGAGGGACCTTATTTTAGTTCTCAAGCCCCTAAAATAACGCCCGGTAAGGAGAGATGCTCAAGAAATGTTTCTTTCGAGAAGGAATTGCTGCACAGCCTCCGTGGATGGGTGCCGCATAACCTATGTGACCGTCCACCACGTACCTTTACCCCGCCTTGATTGCTGTTAATCATGTCACAATAAAGGGCTTCGTATTCAGGTCTTTGAATCCTTATCCCGGTATGTCTGTGGCAGAAATTCTCAGAAGTGGAACTGACATATCAAGAGCCTGAGCATTTTCTGTTTTGATAGCTGTTGCCAAATTGTCTTCCAAACATGGCTTGCACCGTCCGTGGGCGACGGTCCCATCAATCACGCCGACATTCCCTGAATTCTAAGCAATAACATGCTACCTTTCATCTTTGCCAATCTGAGAGGTGAGAAAATACTGCTTCATTTTTGTTTAATCTATTTATGTATATAGATTAATATAGGTATATTAATAGAATATATAGATTATTATAATACATAATAACCTATATATTCTATTAATATATATTAATGTGTATCTACATATATTACCTAATGTATATAATGTATATTAATCTCTATACTTATATAATTGTATTTAAATTTAGTATACACACACACATTTTGGGGATACTTGGGGTTGAACCCAAGAATACTTTGCCACTGAGCTACATCCCTTGTCCCTTTTTATTTATTTATTTATTTATTTTTGGTACCAGGAATTGAACCCAGGGGCCCTCAACCACTGAGCCACATCCCCAGCCCTATTTTATATTTTATTTAGAGACAGGGTCTCACTGAGTTGCTTAGTTCCTCGCTGTTGCTGAGGCTGGCTTTGAACTTGCGATCCTCCTGCTTCAGCCCTCCGAGCCTCTGGGCCACCACGCCCGGCCAAATCCTTTTTAATTTTTTAAAATTTTAGTTACTGAAGTTCTCGCTAAGCTACTGAGTGTCTGGCTAAATTGCTAAGGCTGGCCTCCAACTCACCATCCTCCTGCCTCAGCCTCCAGAGTCACTGGGATCACAGGTCTATACCACCGGGCCAAGCTTGATTTATATTTCTTATTTTAAGTAAGATTGATCATGACTGAAAGCCATGTGTTTGATCTCAAAGCAATCATAGTCAATGGTTTATTCAACCAATTTCCTATTAATGCACATGTCTGCTGTTTTCATTATTTTACTACTTTAAATAAAACTTCAATGCACAAAACATCCGGATTTGCAAATTGGTCAGGTGACCTCCTTCACTAAAAGTGGAAGTGCTGTTTCAAAGAACTTGCCCATGAACATTTCAGGTGGATAAATAGTTTTCCAAATGGTCTTCCAAAGTCTGTTCCTATTTATTTCCCCCAATAAAGTACAAGAACATCAGTCTGTCTTCC